CTGCCCTTGATTTGTGGAAGGAAAAAGCAGAAAACCTCACAACTATTCTTCATTCCCCAGAATTAATCTGAAGTCTGGCTCCCTGATGTTTCCAGTTTTACAGTGATCCAAATAACGCCCCAAAACCACACCTGAAGCATCACTCACAATTATAGCTGATAGCTGAGGGAGACCAAAGTGAATTCCCTCCCCAGGCACCCCAGGGCACTCTCCGTTACAGCAGTGGCCCTGGAGTGCTGTGAGATGGGGCCATCAGAGACTCAAACTTGACCTGTAAGCACTGATGTTAGGATATGAATCAGCTTTGAGGGGCTTTCATCTGAAAAGATAGTGAAAAGTGTCATGAATATACACAATGCTACAAGCCTCAGGAACTATTACATAGTACTGAAGCTTCAAAGAAACTACAGACTTCTGAACTTCTTCCAACCTACAGAAAGCAAGTGGACAGATGAATGGGTAGAGCTTCAGTCCCTACTTGAGCTGTGCGAAATGGATGGCACTTCAACTGATTGCTTCAGTTTGCCCTGAATGACTCCCTGAATGGTCCATGGACAATTATACTAGCTTTCTTATTACATCTTTTCCAGTACTTCTGCAAAAGGGATTGAGACTTGGCTGGAGTAAGTGTAATTTGACTAGTCTAATTGCTCTTCAATTCTCAGCTGAGCTTATCACAGCTAGCCAACAAATACAATCATTACATCAGGCCAGAGAATTTTAGGATATACTTTACCCTAACAGCTCAATACATCATTCACAAATGTAACAAGTACACTATAGACACAAGCACTATGTGTTATAAATGCCTATAAACATAGGGTGATTCTACTAAACATAGTAGAAGGTATTCTAAACAGTAAGAAGAAAAGGTGGTCAGATCCCTATGGTTTACTAAGATGTTAATTCAGTATTTATTGAAATACCAGTTAATTTTATTTTTAATTAGCAGATGCATAGTACTCCCAGAAAGTTGTTTTTCAAACTATTTCATATATCTCACATCATGGGTCTCCCCACAGATCCTGACTTACTTAATTCTTTAGATCACTACTATTACATTTTATTAACTCTATATATTATCTATAAACCAAAATTTAGTGTCAAGAGTGATCAAGTATTCTTTTCTGTCAGATTATTCGTTTAGTCAACTCTTACATCCCAATTTGAATTCTGTATATGTTCACATCACTAGAAGAAGTTCCATTTATATTTTGCTTCCTGGGGAAAGTATTGTACTCCTGGTTTCTTAGGAAAGAAAATAAATTTACCTGTTACATACTGCATTATATGTATGGTTTGAAACACATGCCTAAATAAGTTCAAATCTAGAACACTCACAAATGTAGCTGCATACTCAGACCTGCAGAAAGCAGGTGTGTTCCATCCCTGCCCCCAGGCATTTGTGGTAAAACATTACGCAAGCAAACGTTTATCTTATGCCAAATACATTAAATAGTTTTATGTGACCAGGTACAAAAGCCTCATATCAAAATCACCCTGAAATAACAAGTCATACAGGCCAATCAAAACTGTAACTGCATCCACCAGTGCTCTTGATCAAATTTTTTGAAAGGAAAAACTTGCATTTGAAGAGATACTTGCTCTCTAAACAACTCCACAGAGGAGGAAAGGTTTTTTTAAACAACAATTTTTTTTTAATGAAAAAAAGTCCTTTGTATACCAAAATGATTGGAGCTTTAGAGTTTGTTTGGCTTTTTAACCAGTCAACCACCTGCTTATCAGATTCATATAAGAACAAGACTTGATGCTCTCACCTAATATTTGTAACTACCTTACACATATAAAACAAATAAACCATACCAGTGAAAAACTTTAAATCAAAATCTCTCCTATCAGCAGAATAAATGCACATCAGAGTCATGTTACTTCCACTACTCTATGCCAAACTTTGCTTTACTTACAAGATTCACTATGGCATTTATGTAGAACAATCAAAAGCTCCCCAAATCTTGCAATGATAGGGAAATCTCAAGCTACTAATATGTGAGGCAGGGACATGTTTCCATTAGATGTAGAAGTAGTATCATGAGCTTTTACTGGAATAATGAATTTCGTGATTCGTTTTCAAAACTTCTACAGAGAATAACAATTCCTCTACCTCACAAGAAAAAAAGCCCCAGATACTACCACCACCCCACCTTCCTTAATCTTATGAAAGAAGCAATCATACAAGCACACTTGTTATCAAGCCCATTTTGGAAAGGGTCCCTTGAAGCAGTGAAATGGTATCTGTCTCCTGTACCTGCTAGACCAAAACAACTCTGCTGGGGAAGGAAAAAGCTGCCAGATGTTCATCAAGTTGGGCTGCTTTTCTCCATCCCTCTACATTCACTATGTTTCCTTAGGGATTTACTTGAACACGATAGTGCTGCAAGAGTCAACCTTGGACCCGCAACCGCACATCTCCAGGTATTTTATGGCTCAATCTGTAAAGTCAAACAAGCCATTTTCATTCAGGTGGATTTGCCTCCTCCATGATCCACACAGCGACAGTCAAATTCACTAAAGAAGCAAACTGCAATGAGAGAATACATCCAGCCCTGCATGAACACAACAGTCAACATTAAGAAAGACGTGGGAAGAAATAAACCAAGGAAATGAGGAAACATTTTAGACACAGGAAATACAACAACTAGTTATGGCAGCAAACTGATGAGAGCAGCAGATTGCCTCTTTTGCTTATGCCAGAGAAGGCAGGATTAGCTGTACCAGCATGCCAGCAGCACAGACAACTGATACGCGCTTCCTCCTGTTCTTGCAGCTACTGGAGGAAGAGTTGGGGAATGCAAAGCACCTACTGGTGCAGCTGGGATCCTCTCTTTTTCACTTTGCCAGCAACTCAGCAAGTGTAGGATGGGCCACAACACATACACACATACATTACTGAAAGTAATATGTTGAAGTATACAATATTAAAATATTAAGTTTTTTAAGGCATAGTAACAGAAATAACAGTTCTTAGTTAACTGGTTTTCATAAACCATTCTAAGCGTGTAAATGCTTTATAGCAGGAGAACAGCACAGATGAGCTATACACCAGACAAGGTTTTTCCTTTCTAAATTCAGGCTATTCAGCCATACTGCTTCCATTTAGTAGACCCATTCTCATGACATGACTTGAAAGGTCCAGTGTAGCAGTTACATCAAAGACCCTAGGAATGACTTCTATTCCCTAGTGATCACACCACTCTGATAGATTTCCAAAATAATACTGAAAAAAATAAAGTTCTAATATATTCTCTTTACTGAACCACGTTAATTACAAGTAGCTGCTCAACACTGCAATTTAATTTTGATACATCATATTGTGAGACCACATACTTCACAAGGTTTTATTACTATATCACATGCAGTAGAATGCATGGTGATGCAATCAGTATGTAATGACCAAGGTTATAAAGTATACATAATACTATACAGATGCATAAATAATGTATCATTTCCTGAACTTGATTCTGACATACAGTTTCACCAACACAAGCCTGAAGAGAGGTGTGGTGTTAATATCTCCATTTTGCATGTAGGTACACATGCGAAACACAGTACCATATGAAGCATGTGAGGGTCAAATTCCACCTATTGGAAATTTTCCAGAAGCCCATTATATTAACCAGATCAAGGGAAAATTGATATTTTGCACTCTAAATTAAACTTCCCCATAAACACTGGCTAGGGATACATTGATGTTGTTGACAGAAATCAGTAATTCTCTTCATAGTTTTTCATGCTCAGATCTCAGAGCAGTCAAGCATCAAACTTGTTTTGTGGCCTTTAATACAAATTCCCTAGTATGTAATGTATCATTTAACCAGATCAGCTAATTATCTTTCAAATCTCGGTGCCTGAACTCAGTAACTTACAAACAGTAGAAAATCTCCTAGAACAAGGTTCAAAGTCTATCTTAAATTAAAAAAAAAAAAAAGAGAGATAGGAGATCGTTTTCTTTCCAACCATAAGAAAAGAGTTGCTGATGTAGTAACTGTGCAGTAATGATCATAAGAGATCTGTCAAATAAGGCAGCTATAGCTGTCTCCATTGCTCCTCTATGCTACATCTAAGTACATAAGATAAAAATGATCTTTGGTAAGGATTCTAAATTCATCATTACCCTGTTAGACAAGCTATCCTCACCCTTTTAATACACTACATATGAATGTACAGTTAGTAAGATCAAATCTCACTCGTTAAACGATCTGAGTATGCGACCAGATGATGATATCCCTGCTGATATAGAATTTCACTCCCAGACAGTGCAATTTAATGTGAAGAGCTACCTCTAGAAACATAAAACAGGAAGGGGCTCATGAGTCTCAACTGTTGTGGCATTCAATCTCCACACTGGAAAATATGGCAGAATTTCTGTTATGCAATTGAATGCTCTTGAAAAACAAAATTGTGTTTTACAGAGCTAATCATCCAGATATGGAAAGGTCTGCCCAGTAAAAAAAAAAAAAAAAAAAAAAAAAAAAAAAAAAACCTAATGGGCTAGACCAGTAAATTT